CTCTCTCTCTCTCTCTCTCTCTCTCTCTCTCTCTCTCTCTCTCTCTCTCTCTCTCTCTCTCTCGTCCCTCTCTCACTCCGCGCCCGTGTCTTGTTCACCCTTCCTCACCGCATGCCTACGTCTCGTGCGTGATGATGACGATGACGATGCCGATGGCGATTCAGGTTCAAGATGGAGTTCGACGAGTCCAAGCCGTTCCGCCCCATGGAGCAGCTGATGGGGGTACTGCCGTCCGCGTCTTGCCAGGCGCTGCCTGAACCATGCCGTGACCTCATGACCAACCCCGACAGTCCTATCATCGACTTCTACCCCAAGAATGTGAGGGAGGGGGCGACGGGGATGGGGGGGGCATCAACCAATGTTGTAAGCAGGTGGAGAAGGGTATATTCAGAAAAATACAGAATGATAGGAAGCGAGGGCAGGCAGAAACGGAGAAAAAAGTTGCACTTGGACAGAGGCAGAGGCAGAGACAGAGAGATAGAGTGAGAGTTTGGCGATGAGCAGACAGCGGGGCGGCAGGCTCCAATCGGCGGACACAAGACACGCACAAAAAAAAGGGGACTCGGCGCAAGCTTTCGCAGCCGCAGCAACAACCACGAACGATCATAGCCATAGCCATTGCCAGCAACAACGCTTGCGGGAACGAGCTGACATGTTTGTTGCGTCTTTGGGCCGCGGATGAATGGCCGTTGCTGCGCGATGCGGCGGCTCGGCAGGTCCCCTGCGACCCTAACGGCAAGCCTATGCCGTGGCTGTGGGTGGTGCTTCTCCCCTTCATCGACGAGAAGCGACTGCTGAGCAACCTGCAGCCGCTCTACTCGCAGTTCACGGAGGAGGAGACCATCAGGTAAGACGCGTGCTGCTGTTGCTGCTGGAGGTGTTGTTGCCACTGGTGTTTGTGGTGCCAGTGCTGGTGCTTCTGCTTCCGTTGCTGCTGCTGTCATGGTGGTAGTTTGTTGTGGGGCATTAGTCTGATCGGACTGGAGACGTGCTTGGTGCCCAGGCCTCGACGTGTTTCAGGCCTAATAGCGCGGCCTTGAAGCAAACGCCGCAAGACGCCCGGTCTGTCGTTTACAGTACGAAGCTCCTCTTGTTGCGTGTATCCTGTAAATGCTACTGTGATAAGGTTGTGTGTGTCACAGGGGTGGCCGGGTTCGGTTTCTGCAGCAGCATGAGCGTGGGTGCTTCACGATCAACATCCCCGCCGCCCTCTCCTCCCCCCTCACACACGCCCACAAAAACAATACAAGCATGACCCCCCCCTCAACACACACCAGCAAAAGATGTCTCTTATACACATCTAGATG